GCACAATTTTAATCGTCTTTTCTTACTGGCATCGTGGAGTTTTATTTTAGGTGAGGTATATATATATTTTTTTGTGATTGTCCTTAGTATCAGATATTATCGTTTTCGTTATTTTGACATATTATATCAAATATCTGCCAATTATCCCATATCAATTCATATTTCTCTTTCTGATATACACTATCATACTTTCATGCTTTTCTTATAATTATGTCGAAGCATTATATTTGTTATTATGAATGTTTTATTGACCTTATTCATTAATGTTAACACGTTGTCTATCAATTAATCATTTCATTAGTATAACTCAACCAAAATACCTGCAGCCTTACTTGTGCATGACTCATTATTAGTCAGGCACTCGTCTTTCGCATTCTGTAAATCTTTATCACTTTCATTCGTTATTATCTATTACTCTCTATTTTTTATGTATAATTGTTTTTTATTTATGGAAAAAAGTTTCCTTATTCTTTATATATTTATCAACATGATATCATCTTGACATTCAGAACTTGCCTGTTTTCCCCCTCCCCCTCCCCCTTCCTTGGCCTCCCCCCACCCAACCCCTTCCTCCTCCCTCCCTCCTTCCTTCGCTCTCTCACATTACTCTCCTTTCTATTGCCTTGTCCGCTCCCTCTTCTCCCCCTTTGCTCACCCCCTCTTCCCCTCCCTGTGCCACCACCCCTCTCCCCTCCCCCTCCCCCTCCCCCCTGCCGGCCCCCTGCGGCTGCCACAGGCACGATGATTCCCCAGAGCGGCGGCTCCTACACGTACCTGCACGAGGCGTTCGGGCCCATGGTGGCGTTCCTGGACCTGTGGCTCAGCGTCACCATCGGCATCCCGTGCGGCCGCGCCATCGGGGCCCTCACCTTCGCCAACTACGTCGTGCAGCCGTTCTTCCCGACCTGCGCCCACGTGCCGCAGGCCGCCGTCAAGCTGCTCGCCATCGCGCTCATCTGTGAGTTCGGGCGCGGGTTCTAACCCCGGGCCGGGAGGGGCGAGGGTGTGTGTGTGTGTGTGTGTGTGTGTGTGTGTGTGTGTATACATATATACATAAATTGATACACACACAGACACGCGCGCGCGCACACACACATATATACATATATATATATATATATATATATATATATATATATATATATATATATATATATATATATATATATATATATATATATATATATTGCACATGTGTAATGAAACAGCCATTAACATCCATGGATCTGAATTACAGATATATATTGCTGAAGAAGAATAAAAGAGTGCCTCATTAATTGCAAACAAAAAGATAAAAAAAGCGTTTAGACGCTAGATAATTCTTAAATCCGTGTCAAGGTTAGGAAATCCAGGTCTAGTCTAATCTTACAGGCGAAGGAACATTTAACTTTTATAATAGGGATTGATAAAACATATGCTGCAACATTAGAGAAAGAGATAGATAGATAGAGAGAGAGACAGAGACAGAGACAGGGAGAGAGAGAGAGAGAGAGAGAGAGGAAGAGAGAAAGAAAGATAGAGAGAGAGAGAGGAAGAGAAAGAAAGAGATAAAGAGAAAGGGGACGATTTAACCTCTCCCATTAAGGAAAATGCCATAAACTCTTTACTGGCGGATCTTTAGATGTATAAAAAAGGGCAGTAAAACCCAAAAGGCAAAGAGAGAGAGAAAAGAGCCAACGATTGTCTTGGCAACCGGACTGCAGTTGTATCTATATCTAAAACCCTTTAGCCTATACTATCACATCTGAGAGAGAGAGAGAGCCAGAGACCGAGGCAGAGAGAGGAAGAGGGAGAGAGAGAAAGGAGTAAAAGAGAGAAAGAGAGAGGGTGAGAGAAAAAGAGAGAGAGGAGTAAGAGAGAGAGACAGAGAGAGGGAGAGAGAGAGGAGTAAGAGACAGAGAAAGAGTGAGAGAGAGAGAGATAGATAGAGACAGAGAGAGAGATTTTTAATAAAAGAAAGGGTAAACCAATTTCCCAGATTAAATAGCATCAGTCAGGTGACGAATTTATCCTCCGAGAATCTGTGTTTTTTCAGTGCATTGAAGTGAAAATGGTCCAATCATAAAAAAGTAGAAACATAAACGAAAACGATGAGAAAAAAATATATATATTATATCTGCAATGAATAAAAGGGCTTAGCGCGGAAGTTGCCAACTAGGAATCTGATCAAGCCCCCCCCCCCCCCCCCCCTTCCATGCATAAACCTCGAACTAATCAGCTAATCGTCCCCCACCCCCCACCCCCACCCCACCATGTACAAATCGCGATGTGATTAACCCAAGGTAGTTTCAAACAGGTAGGCCCACTCCAAGAAATTCGTAGTTGGCAACCCCCGAGCTAAGCCCAGCCTTTTTTTTTTGTTTAAATTCGTTGCAGATATTAAATATGTGTTTTTTTTTGTTTTTTTTTTGGTTTCGTTTTCGTTTATTTTTCTACCTTTGTTATTATTGAACCATTTGCACTGAAATGCGCTGAAAAAAATGCCATAAAATATTACACA